TGAAAAGATGGATCTCAAAATCATACAGTCACTGCTGGAAAGGGTTCAAATATGCAAAAGATGCTGGAAACCTGAAGAATCTGCAGGACATGGAGGATTTTTCTGAAGAACAGTGCTCAGTTTAACTGTTCAGAACAAACAAGGGACTCATGAACAACCATCACAAAACAGAAAACAGTCGCAGATCATCCAGGTATCCACACACAGTATTAAGAACCAAGGGTTCCCAAACTTTTGAATGGGGTTATTTTTATAATTTCAGCTATTTTTTTTTCTTGTGGACTAAATGTAAACATCTTTTATGTCAAATACCTCACTCAGGACAGTACTAAATAAAAAAATAACAGGAGATGATCTCTCTTATTTTATTAAAATTATTCACATTTTCACAGATTCTGCAAGGGGTTCACAAACTTTCGCATGCCACTGTATCATCCACCCCTAGTAACAGGTATCAGTATAAGACCACTATTGGAAAGCATAAACAAAAAAAATACTGAGTACACCTTTAAAAACTAGCAGGATAATTAGCTGTGTTTGTAATGTACTGTTATCAGGTAAATCAGAATAAACTAGCCAGGTAAGGTATATAAACACATACTTTATCTCTGAAGTCAACATCGTTGAGCAAAATGGCTTTTTGGTAGGTTGCAGTCCTGAGATAGTCCTGAAGCATGTTCTGCTGCTGGGACAGACAGCCATAGAACTGAGAGGAAACTACAAATGTCTCACATTTCTTACAGCGGTAAATCATGTTATCACATACACGGGAACTGAATAAAGTTGCAGGTGTGTGTGAGGTAATTCTCCGCTTTACCTGGAAGTACTGCAGTGCAGAAGAACCGTCTGTCCTCTGCTGAAACACGGGCTGATGTCTCCTGAGCTCGTGCCATGAGCGCAGCATTCTGTGGAAGACCTCAAACTCTGTGCGGAAATCAAGAGGACAATAACACGATCCAAAACAGTAATGGAGCTGTATCATATTTAAAAAATCATCCACTTTCAGCTCATGCTTCATGTGTCTTCTGGCTGTGAAATTTACAACGGAAACATGAGAATAACCTTTATATTGTTAGTAATATTTTAATATGAACATTTACTGAGTTCAAATGCCATGTTCAAATATGAGTATCAAATATTATCCATCAGGCTTTTGAGGAATGTTTATTTGTTCATCTCTCAATCATCACTGTATTGCACGGCATTATATGCATTATGGCCTAATCATAAAATGAATCATTTAAACATCATCTTACTAAGACATTATTGAGAGATATAGAGTGACGACTGATATTAATATCATTTTATGTTCGTAGGTTGCTATACTGTTATAAAGATCTCATTGATTTAAATTACAAGAATTTCATCTTACTTTTTGCTGTATAAAAATCAGCCATATTTTTGCTTAGTTTGGACCTCTTAATAAAACTAAGATAGATTTTTTTTCACTTGAGTATGAGCTCCATATTCACACTATATCATACTCTATGAGTCATAAAAGTCTGATGCATCAACAAAAAACGTACATTTTGTCTAAAGATTCAATAAACTGTCATTTCTTTTGCCGGGCTTTACAGGATTAATCAAGGTTAATGTTAATTTATAAATATACTACATGTTGGATCAAAACATATTAATGCTGATTTTGCTTATTTAACTCGAAATGTTAAAAATGGAGACGTATATCTAGAAGCCAACAGTTCACTGTTATTGTCAGTATCAGTGTATCAACAGTATAAATCATATTACAGTATTTAGAGGCACTGCCAAATGTAAATAGAATACGAGTTGAAATACGTTTGTTACATTGAAACATTCTAAATGTTAGATATTAAATGGACACTTTTAGACTTTTAGGTCATTTCCTCTGTATAACGAGTGTGCTGTTAAGCGTGTCTCCACAGGGTTTGCCATTAGTGATTGATTTTTCTATCATGTTTGATTCGGTTACCAGTGGATGTATCCAAAATCTCCCTGAGCCGTTAAATACAGATGTACAACAGATGTGCTGGGAACACGTAATGCTTCTCAGAGGAAAAAGAGCGAAATGTTCCATACTTTGATCTGGGATTAGTAATACTAGAAAAATATTAACCAAATTATACTGAAAAGCAACAAAGTATTAATAATGCTATGAGTCTTGAACAGCGTTTGACATGACTTTTGGCTTCTGCTAAAGGGTCACATGAGATCGAAACATTTCTGTCCCGTTTGGAAGATGGATCAGGCAGAAATCTGACTTGAATGTGCCAATTTTGAGGTAAAGAGTGATGAGAGGTCTAGATAAATGCAGATAACTGACCTGACTGGGTGCTGAAGCGCATGATGATACTGAAACAGCCCAGAGTGATGAGGAATGAGCGCGTGGCCACCCGACAACACTCTGTGTCCCTCGTGATGGAGAACTTAAAGACACAAACGCCAGCATCTGGAAGCATAAGAATACACTGGGCATATGAATGCTGTTAAAACAATGAAAGGATTATGTCACCCTACATCTGTCATCATTCACTCACCCTCATGTCATTCCTTAGACACAGAATACAAAAGGAAAATGTCTGAAAAATGTTCATGCATGTTTACGTAAAACTAAAGTGGATGGTGATTTATATTGCCAAGATCCAAACAGTACAAAAAAGTAGTTCATTAAACTCATGTACTTTGTTCCAAGTCTTCTGAAGCCGTACAAGATCCAAAATTTCATCGCTATTCACTACAAATCTTCCTTTCTTTTGCAACTCTCAAATCTCATTTGCACTTACGCATTTTCAAACTTGGCATGTCATGTGGCAACCAAATTTTTTTTTTTTTAAAGAAATTAACTTTTATTCAGCAAGGATGGATTAAATTGAGCTAAAGCGACAGTAAAGGCATTTATAATTTTACAAAAGATTTCTGTTTCAAATAAATGCTGTTCTTCCCCTTTTGAAATCGCATTGCAATTATATTAACTTCAAAACTAAAAATAAAAAGTTATCAATCCACCATATTGCTTTATTAAGTGAAAAGGTCTGAATCAGGAGAGAAATCTGCACACATCAAGCACTGTTCAAACAGTCCAAAACAGCTCTAAACAAATATGTGAGTGGATTTTGATGTGAGAGACATCAGGAGATGCACTTTTCCATTATGGATATTTTGACAAAAAGCAACGGTTTGAAGTTAAAAACATCTTAAGGATGGATTTGTTTCTTACAAACATGCAGTTTTTGGCTTCTCAAGACATTAACTGATGGACTGGAGTGGTGTGGATTACTTGTGGATTACAACGGTTTGAAGTTAAAAACATCTTAAGGATGGATTTGTTTCTTACAAACATGCAGTTTTTGGCTTCTCAAGATATTAACTGATGGACTGGAGAGGTGTGGATTGCTTGTGGATTATTGTGATGTTTTTATCAGCTGTTTGGACTCTCATTCTGACGGCACCCATTCACTTGCAGAGCATCCACTGGTGAGACAGTGATGTGATGCTACATTTATACAAATCTGTTCTGATTATGATTATGATTATGATTATGATATGACAAAGATTTTCAATGAATAAGTACTTTAACTGTTTTCAAGCTGAACAGCCTGTGGTCACTAAGTGTTTTCAATAAAGGAAACAGAAGCATGAACATTTTACTAAACATCTCGTTTTGTGCTCTACAGAAAAATCCCAGGTTCCAGATCAGTGTTTCAGCCATGAGCTGGCATCAGAAATGACTGTGTCCTGCTATGTGAGGTACGGGACACAGAAAAACACCAGAGCGGTGCTATCTGACTTTGTGCACCAGGAGACAGAAAGCGCTGGCGGCCAGGACCAGTGTACCATGTCAAAGAAAACAGAGTTCGGTGCAGGCGATGCTAGAGCTCAAGCAGCAGAACAGCCTCGCTGCTCACGGAGAATGAACAGCGGAGCCGTAAATCTGGCCATCTGTCAGTGCTAGACCACACAATGAGACTCCAGAAAATGTGTGGCACACCTGAATAAAGAGTCTTCATTTGCCCTTCAACCAATAAACAAGACACTACAAAGAGCCAGTGGAGAAATGCGTATGATATGACGTTATTTACAGTGTGAATGCTTCCATGTGGTTCCTCAATCTTCATATTATTCAGACAGGAGCACATACTGAAAATGGGCATTACATGATATTGACTGACTAATTAATTACAAAAAAAATAAAAAATGAAATGAAAAAAGGGTAACACTTTAAGGTGTCCTTGTTATACATGTTACATGTAATAACAATTATGTATGCATAATTACATGCAAGTAACCCTAAACCAAACCCTAATCCTAACCCTAACCATATAGTAAGTAGGCTACACTGTAACAAGGACACCTTAAAGGGGTCATATGATGCAATTTCATTTTTTCCTTTCTCTTTGGAGTGTTACAAGCTCTTGGTGCATAAAGAAGATCTGTAAAGTTGCAAAGACTAAAGTCTCAAATCCAAAGAGATATTCTTTATAAAAGTTAAGAGTCAGCCACGCCTACCTAAAACGGCTCGTTCTAACACGCCCCCACATACCTACGTCACGATCTGGGAAGATTTGCATAACACCGCCCAAATGTTCAAGCAAAGAAAGAAGGCGTAACTTTTATTATCGCTGTAGTATTGTTGCCGCCATGTTTTCTACAAAACAAAACGGAAATCGAGAGGTTATGACGTCATTGGCAGGCGACACAATAACACTATAGACACGGTGCGTGTCACTAGTTAAAATTGCTCATTTCTCTGGATTTAAACATTCTTCGAAACATTTGGGATAATGTAAGTACACAAGTCAGCAAAATATATAACACTGTTCTAGTGGTTTTTGGATATTATAATAAAAAAATCCTACATATTGTGCCTTTAAGTCTCTTGCTTGTCTGATGTTTCTCTGTTCACACTTTATTTTAAAATGCACAAATAAGTGAAATGTTAAGTAACAACATGTACTAACGATATGTTTAGGGTTAGTGTTTGGTTTAATGTTAATTGCTTGTAATCATGCATTATTACTATAGGAAATACATGTAACGCGTAACAACGCCAAATCATTATGTCTTCTCATAGATTCAGAAGCTATCTCAACAATTTCTAAAAGTACGTCTAAATAAACGTCTAATAATAATAACAATAATAATAATAAACATAACTCAATGGCACTGTAAAACTCCATGACTATGTAAAAAAATATGTTTGCTTATAGCTACTTGCCAAAATACGTAAGTCTGTCATCTAAAGTCTGAGATTTCAATACTTTTGAATTATATATTACTCATACAGTTCTTCCCAAACCACCATTACATTAATTGTGTAGCTCTGTGCATATTATCTTCGACGTGTAACGTTAAAGTAGTGTTTTGTTAAAGCAATAAGCCCCAAGAAGCCGTGGTTTACAGTGAATTTATAACAGCTAAGGCACGACGCAAAGCGGAGAAAATAAAACGGTTATTCCATATACGTAGTAAGGTTTCACAAAATAAAACAGAGCAAATAAAGTGTAATGATATTAATAAAAACAGTATTCTTCCACCAAACAATGTAGTTCCTCAGAATCAGTTGTGGTTCCAACAAAGTGGTTGCCGAGCAACACACAGAAGTAAACAAAGGTGTATGATTGTAGAGTAATTTACAACAGCTTTGAACGCGGCTCAACCAATCAGAATCAAGCACCGGAACTCTCCGTTTTATAATTACCGTTATTAACGGTCAGACAGATGTCGTCAGCCTCTCCGCGGATCTGAAGTCTAAGCTCCTGATGTTGACTGGAAATCGGCAGATCTTGCTTCAAGTCATTCTCATTCAGAAAGATCAGAGTTACAGAGAAACTGGTCTGTAACTGATTATCGCCCATGATTGAATCCAGCAGTCATGGTAGGCCGGAGAAGCTCTCATATCCTTCTGTATAAACCTTTTGACAGAGTTTGTGAACAAGTTTAGACGAGAGGAGGCTCTAAAGCGGCCTTGACGCCAGAGGGCGGGGCTAATGACAGACAGCGATGGCGTGAAGGATTCTGACTAAAAATAAATAAAATAAAAATAAGTAAATAAATAAATTCGCGTCAGTATCTCAAACAAACAATTACATCCTACTACAGCACCCATATAACGTTAACCATATTGTTTGATACAATAACAGATAACTTTTATCTACGTCAAGTAGCCCGTTTGTTATTTCTACACATTGTTTTAGTGCAGCTTCGATCAGAAAACACATGAGCAACAGCAAGAGTAAAAATTATATTTATTACGAATCTGAAGCTTACATGGTAAATAGGAGTATTTTAAATTTCATTTTCGTTAATCTGTTTAAATTGGCATATACAGTGAGTGTGGTGGTAAAAATGTCCGTGTAACGGAACCGTAAAATAATTATTTTACATCATGTAAGTGTTCTGGACCCGTAAGTAATAATATCGAAATGTTCATTGTTGCTTGTAGGCTATAACAGGTTAAAAGTTAATTTGTGGTTTAGTCTAATCACGCATTAGGCTAACTCTTTTTTCTTAATGTGTTTAACAGTATGCACATATTACGTTATTATGTCCTAAAAAATAAAATATTCTCAAAAAAAAAAATATATAATAAAATTTAAGACAAATAATTAATTGTACACTTACTGTGACTAACTAATGAAAAGTGGATTGTAAGTCAAAAATGCGCTAATATCGCTGATAATGGAAGGACTAATCGAGCTGGGTAAAATGGGTCTATTAATTCAGTAAACATTCGTGTAATAGTGCTAATACTCATGGTTATGAATGGCTGCAGTGTTTACATGGTAAGATTAAACAAGCTTCAGCTCCTGTGTGTGTTTAATGGTAAGTGAACACACCAACACGTTAACTTTAACAAACTGTCACAAAAAAGAGTGAAATTTTCTGAAAAAGCACTGTTCTTTCACATGGTTATCGTGTCCTCTTGCGCTGCGCAGGAATTCACATCTAACGCTATAGAAACACTGTTTTTGCTGTCAGGGTTGTTAAAAAATTTGACCAGTTTTTATGTTTGTTTTGTATTTTCGTTTTTTAATTTCAGTTTCGTTTGAGTTAGTGTTGATGGCGCGTAGTTTTGATTTCGATTTTATCTTTCGAAAGTCATTAGCCTACTTTTAGCTTGCATTTAGTTTTAGTTTTATTTTTAATATCATGGTAAGAGCCTTGGTGTTCGTAAATGTGTATTTGACAAAGGTGGAATAGCCTAAATGATCAAAAGATAAGACAACCTAACGACAACAAAACAGGTTATTTTACTTTTCATAATGGTTTCACTTTGCATATGTAGTTATAATTACGCTTTTATTCACAAACCATGAAAAGCAAAACAAAACAAAAAACATATTTAGGACTTACTTCATTCAGAAATTGTTAGTAGCCTTAGAAATTTGACAAATAATTATAAAGAAACGACAATACTTCAAACGTGAAATTTTAAGTAGAGATACTAAATTGTATTTTCTTGTAAAACGTATTTAAATAAAGTTGGTTTCATTTATTTAAAAAAAAAAATCATTCCATTCGATTCTATTCGATTCTAACCTGTGGTCTGGTGTAGCGCTGTATCCGCGGCGAAGTCCGAATGCTTTGCGAATCGGTTCGTTTGAATCCTTAAA